GGCTCGGCTGAGGAGCGGGGCTGTGCTCATATCCCCGGGATCCCTGTGTCCCTCCTGCCCTTCGCGGGACGGATCAGCATGATCCCTGCCGGCTACTCCGGCTGGCTCCAAGGTGCTGCTGCCGTAAATTTCTTGGGGAGTTTGGACTGATAGGCGGCCTCCAGAGGGTCTCCCAAAGGGGACGGGGAAAACAGCCCGTGAGCCTTGCAGACTTCAGTTTGCCACTGCGGGAATCTGCACCTCGCTAGGAAACACCCGGCAGTCGTTTCTATATGAAACATTTGTATATTGTTTCTCCCAGTCGCGGTTTCAAACTCTTGTTGAAACTCTTCTTTTGACTGCGGGAAAATGAAGTGAGAGCTGGCTTGCGCTGAACTCTTGGGAATGAGGAAGCTTTCAGAAGTTATTTCTTGATTAGCAGGATTCCTGAACCAGGGCTGCTGTGGTTGTGTGGCCTTGGGGCCCTGGCCCCTTCTTTCTGTTCCCTTGACACGCCGCATGCACGACAGGGAATCCTTTGCCCTGGGATTACCTGGAGGAGCACGGCTGAGCAGCCCGGCTCCTGCTGCCACTCTGTCACCCGCAGCAGTTCTGTCTTTTTCATCCTAAGGGAGGAAATCACTCTGGGCCTCCTTCCTACATGAATTTATTCACGTTTTATGGCACTTGGAGGATTTGTTGCTGTATTTAAAATTTCCTCTGGATGGATTTTAAAGAAGTTTTTTGGGAGAAGGAGGATAACAGGCAGCGTAGCTGCAGCGTTTCCTTGAGAAACTAAGGAAGGTGTGAAAATGATAAGTGTTGCATTGAAATATGTGCAGTAAAGTGTTTGTATTTAGATGGACATATGTGAAACTTGGCATTAATATGGAGGTCATGTGGTCTCTCAGCTCATCAAATCCCTTCTTTTCTTGCAAGTGTTTAAAAAAATTATGAATCTCTGCCAGTGCTACTGAAGAAAATATTATGTACAACTTCATGGTGTTGGAGATTTTGTTGGCTGCATTCAAATCATACAATTAAGAGTTGGATTTTGTTGATTTTCTGCACCAAAAGTGTGTGTTACTTATTATCCATATTGTTTCTATTGCCTACGAGTTATTTTTATAAATGCACTAGGTTGGTTATAACAGAGTTGGTTGTATTCTTTTACTGGGAATCTGTTATTGTAAATTTCTGATTTTGTTTATCTACTTAATTTCTAGGTGCTAGAAGCAGATAGATAACTGTCCATACCAACTGCCTGGAACTTTGAAAGTTATATTGTCTGAAATCTACAGACTGTGATATTGTTGTGTTAATGCTGATCAGCAGAGAAGTTGGAATACAGTTTGCAAGATGCCAACTGTTGAAAATCTGAGTGGTGAGCAAAACTTCAGTGCATATTGGATGCTCAGTAGTGCCCGTGCTGGAGTCTTACTAGGGCCTAGTTTTACTGGTTTGAACTTTAAGAAAGAAAATTTGTTACCTGGACCTGGAAACATCCCAGCTTTGCCTGAAGAAGTGCTGCATCTTTCAGACAGCTGTTCTGTAAGTGATGACTCCCTGTGTGAAGAGTCTGCCAGCTCTCAGGCACCCCAGCAGTGTCCCACTGGAACACCTTTTCCAGCAGCACCTGCAAACATGGAAAGCTCTAAACCAGACTTAGTCCACGGTGAAGTGGATGGTCAGAAGAAATCCAGTCACAATGATACACTCCTACAAAAGCTTGAACAGGTAATAAATACACCTAGAATTCTTTGACATGCCTACAGTAAGATTTATTTTGTTCCTGTGTATGAGTTGTCATGCCTGCAAGTAAGCAAACCCCTTGCAACAAATGTATAGGCCACAGCAAGCCTAAAGAGCAAATCCTGAGTTCCAGTTGTGCTCACATGAAAGTTGGTGTCTTCCTCATGATGTGCATATCCTGGGAGTGGAACTGCTGTTGTTTCCAGGTGGCACAAGTTCCAGTTTAAAATGAAATTGTTCTTAAAAATCATTTTTCCTGGAAAGGCGCACACAGTTCTAGTTGAAGTTTCTTCCCTCGAGGCTGTGGAAATGGAGTGCTGGTCAATACAGCACAGGTATTCACCACACAGTGGAGTTGAATGTTCCTGTATCTATAGCAACATCTTTTGTTAGTTCTCAAAGTAGGTGTGACATACCTGGCTCTTTTTAGATGAGGGGATATGTTAGTGTTGGATGTGATAAAGTTTCCAAGACATCAGGATAAAAAAAAGGCCTGGAATTGTA